TGTGTGGTGTGTGTGGTGTGTGTGGTGTGTGTGGTGTGTGTGGTGTGTGTGTGTGTCTGTGTGTGTGTGTGTGTGTGTAGGTGCAGGGATCGAGCCTAGAAGCTGAGTGTATTCTGAAGACAAAACCATCAAAATTCAAGGCAAGTATGGGCCACATAAACAGACTTTGCTCTAGAACAAACAAAAGCCATGGCTGGGTTCCAGTCCAGGATGTTTGTTTGACTGTAGAAAGTAGATCTGTTTTCCTTGTAGTGCTGGGGATTGAACCCAGGACCTTGAGCCAGCTAGGCAAGTGCTCTACACTGAACTCCAGCTCTGGCCCGGGAAGAAGCAAGTTCACACTTATCAAGCTCTGTGGAAATAGCACCAGACATTCGAAGGCTGTATGAGGAAGAAGAAACTATCACAGCCCATATACTTTCTTCACAGGAGAAAGACCAGTCACAGACCTCTGTAAGCAACTGGTCCAAAACTTGACCAAGTCTGCCCAGGCCCTCTCAGGATGGAGGAGGGGAGGGATGAGGATAATGCCCACAGGATGGAGGAGGGAGGGGATGAGGATAATGCCCACAGGTCCTCTCTTGTCATTAGTCTCACCTTGGCCTTCTCGAGCTGGGCTAAGGCCTGTCGCTCTGCCTCCTTCCTTAAGGCCTCCCGGTCCTCCTCCAGAGACACATCAGAGTCTGATGGTCGGCTCGTGTAGGACTCTGCTGAGCCCTGAAAACAGAGGAGACCAGCTGAAGGCCAGCACCACTTCTTCTCGCTCCTGGGACGGCATGGAGGTGCCATCCATTCTAAAATTCCAATGCTCCATGAGCCCCACACAACACTGCAAGGCCTGGAAAGGAGATATTATTAGAATGAAGAGGCCAGGGGTCATAGTTTGCAGGCCTGTGGGATGAGTGTGACCCTAGGAAAGGTGACAACAGCCAGCTGGAGGGTAAGGCAGGTCTAATGACAGCTGCTTGGGGCTTGGGAGGGGTGGGAACCTGATAGGGGCACAGCCCAAGGGAGGAGTGCCAGGGGATGACTCTCACTCCCAGCTTCTCCTTCTCTGCCCTGCCCCTGAATGGCCGAGAAGGCACAGCAGAAACTCAGTGCCATCCTTTCCAGGGACTGTAGCCACTTTCTTAGGCCTGAATCGTCACCGTTGCCCGTGGGTAGTCTGTTGGAATGACAGGGCCACCAAAATTGTTGATTGAAAATCAGGGGAGCAAGACAGCCATCTCCCCTACTCCTCTAGCTGGGAATTTCTGAATTGGGCCACTCTGAGGCAACTCCAAGCTGCCTTATGATTTTCAGGGCAGCTCAGCAAGATGTGTGAGGGGAGAGCAGAAGAAGGAATAGGACACTGTCCGACACTAGGATGCTAGATTGCAGGGTAAGTCAAGCCGTAAAGATTGACTGTGACGCCGGGCAGTGGTGGCGCACGCCTTTAATCCCAGCACTTGGGAGGCAGAGGCAGGTGGATTTCTGAGTTCGAGGCCAGCCTGGTCTACAGAGTGAGTTCCAGGACAGCCAGGGCTATACAGAGAAACCCTGTCTCGAAAAAAAACAGAACAAAACAAAAAAAAAAGATTGACTGTGACAGGAACCCAACGTGGACCATAGTCACCATCCCAGAGTGCCAAGGACAATGGTAGAGACACACATATATGTATGAGACCCACAGAAGCTATACAGACATCATGGTCATGAAGGTACAGACATGTGTATATCTGGGAATACAAAAAGTGCACTTGAGAAGATGTCTTCCATCGTGTCTGCTGAGTGTGAACAATGGAGTCACCAAAGGTGCCTCAGAGGTCTTTGTCCCTGAGGGTGGGAGGCAAAGGGTGGCAAAGGACAGAAGGCATGGGTTTGGTGTGACTTCTGGAGGGGTGGGTGGCAGACAAGGGTGGGAGGGACTATGAAGAAGTTGTGAAGTTACAGGTGTGAGAGGGAGCTCTCCTGAGGGCAGGGAAGAGTCACTTGGCTGGGATTGTCCATTGGTTTGGCATAGGAGATGGAGGCCAAGACCTAACTCTCCCCAAATCATCAGGTGATACAGGCATTACCTTCCTAAGAAAATCCTGAGAACGGGAGGTTCACTGGAGGAGGGGTGGGATAGAGATTTGGGTCACTAATAAAAGCTAGAGAAGAGACAAAAACCAGGAGGAGGGACCAGCAAAAGAATCCCCATTCCCCCTTGTTACACATTCTCCCAAATCAACAATACACATGCCCAAATAGACAGAGACAAGCAGAGATAGACAGACAGAGAGGCGCACACTGACCCCAACAGACACGCATATGCATACACTCAATCAGAAATGGGAGAGAGCAAAGGAGCAAAGAGATGGACTGGAGAAGGCCCTCCACGGTAGTTTGAGGGGTTCTTCCATCCACCCACCACCTGACCCATCCCCAGCTCACCACTACCAGGGTCCGGCTGGGCACCTCCATCCCGGAGCCCTCAGTGCCTGGCCCTGCCGACCTAGGGGTGGCCCACACAGCCCGTTCCCCCAGGAGCTCAGGTTACAGGCAGAATTGCTACATGTGCAAACTGCTAGGGTATATTTAGCTCAGAGATGTGGCAAGGTCTGCCCCCCACTCCCGCCACCTACTGGGGGTAGGACTTGAGGAGCTAGGAGGAGGAAGAATGGGAGCTCTCTCATGGGGGTCTAACCCCTTGGCTGGCAAGAGGGAAGCTGAAGGCTCTTCCTGCCTTAACAACAAAAGCATGACACCATCCTTTTTAGACCTGGCACTGGCCAGTTCTGTTCTGGAACAGGAGGGCTAAAGGAATGATTAAGGAAAGAACTTCAGATCAGTTTGTGTATTTTAGACACATTCAGATGAAAACCTCCCTTCAGTCTCTGGAGCTAGGCCTGGGCTCATGCATGAAAAACCCAGAGACAGAAGAATCAAAAAGAAAGTACTCAGTTCAGTCAGCAATGGATCTGCTTGCTACTACCTTCTCTCTCTCTGTCTCTCTTTCTCACCCCCCCCACCCGCCGAAGGGCTTGCCCCAGGGGGCTCCTTCTGCCCTCTCACGTTCCATTATCTCCTTAGCCACACTCCTTTCCTTGTCTGATCCTGAACCCCTCTTGCCTTTTTTGGGTACCAGGCTTTGTTGAGATGCTCAGTAGTCATAGCAACCACATGCCTCCTCACTGCCTCTCCCCAGCCTAAGATGGCCTGGGGTTGAGGGAAGAAAGGAAAGTGGCAGTTTTCCCAGCTCAGCATGAGAGCCCAGAGAACTACTGTCAGCACCAACTTCAGCTAGGGATGCAGGCTACATCCCTCTAAAATAAAACATCCCTTCTCCCCACATCTTGCCTCTCTCTGTGCATATCTAAAAAGAGTCATATCTGGAAGTGGAGAGAATATGTTCCTGACCCATACATACCTAACCAGGGCCAGGCATCGCAGCTTATTTCTAAGCACCTGCCTCAGCCCCACCCCATCACAGATTCTGGGGGAGGACATGGAAGCAGACAGCCGGCAGGGGGAGTGGGTGACAGCCCGAAGCAAGCCAGGAGGAGGCAGGCCAGGCTGTCCCTGAATGAGATGACGCAGGCAGGCAGGCAGGCAGCAGGGGCTGGGAGCTGATGTCGGAGGAGGGGCGGAAGCAGTAGGTGCAGAGAGGTCACGGGTGTTGGGTGTGGTGGTTCCAGGCAGGTGACAAGTGAGAAGAGAAAAGGTGCAAAGCCAGCCTGCACCAACTGGTTGCATCTCCCATGCCCTCTTGTCGGTTACCTGGCGGACAAAACTGTTGGATGTTGTATCCGAAGAGGTACTTCCGTCAGACCTTTTGAACCGCCCTTTCCTCTTGCTGTACTTGCCCTGGAGAGGTGGAGAATGAACAAGAGTGACATCAGAAAGATGCTTTCCCAGTTCATCTCCTACCAGGGCTAGTGCTGTATACAGCCAGCCTAGCCTGGGGACTCTCTACACCACCCTATCCTCAGCTTCTCCTTCTAGAGGTGGCCAGCCTGAAAGGAAAGAGGGTCTTCCACCTCACTGACAGTGCCCAGACAGCAGCCACCATGAGGAACTGTGCAGGAGAGCCTGGGATGTACACACAGGAATCCCCAAATCAAGCTGAAGGCTGAGAAGCAGAAGGCCTGAGGAATGGAAGGCTCGTTAGGCAGCAAAAGCTAATTAAGATGCTGAGGCTGCAGCAGCCTGGGGGAGGGGGGAGGGAGAGGCTGCCTGCAGTGCTGGGGGGCGGAGGAAAAGAGGGGGACGTCCTCTCCCCTGCATCTGGAGCTGAGGGGGCAGAGTGTGCTGTGCCCCCAGAGAGAGGGGGCGAGGCAACCCAGGGCCAGGCTTGGTTCCTCCCCTGAGCCCAACTCCTGTGCTTTCTGCTTCCCGGAGTAGGGAGGGAAAGACATTCAGCTCTTGAAGACCCAAAGTCACGTTTCTGAGGAAGGAAAAGAGGGAGGAGGTACAGAAGAACCGGATCGGGAAAGTAAACATCCAACCTGTGGCCTGGCGCCTCGGAGCGCTTCCCACTCTTCTCTCCACCCTAGCAGAACTTCCTCTCAGCCTCCGTCCTGGTAAGCAGTGCTTATATCCCTCCCCAAGGCAGGATCCACTCCACTCCCACGCCAGCCGCTACTGCCCATGCCCCATCCCCACGGTACTAACCCTGCTCCATCAAGCTAAAGGCCCTTTGGCCCCACTCCAAGCCGAGACTAGGACATATAGTCCTGCTGGTACCAGGTAAGATGGTTAATCTCTCTGACTGGGTTCTAACTGGGGTGGGGGATCCTGCCTGACCTCTCACATGCCAAAGGTATGTCATTGAGCATCTCTATGCTTCCTATAAGGGAGCTGCTTCTCCCCCCCCACACACACACACATTCATCTTCTTGGCCCTTGCCCAGTAGAGAATAGGCAGAATGTCCAAAAGCTCCTGCCCCCAGCCTCTGTCCCAGACTTTGACCAAAGATCCTAGAGGCACCTCAACCACACTGCAGGCTCTGGCTCCTGAGACCTGGTACCAAGGAAGCTGATGAGCCAGACATAGTGACTCACACCTGTAATTCTCTACTCTTTGGAGGTAGAAGCAGGAAGATCAGAAGTTCAAGGCTAGCCTGGACTCTATAAGATACACACACACATACACACACACACACACAAATAATAGGACTGAATATTCTATGGTCCTTTTTCCTTCTTTAAAACTGGGCATACAGGGAAACTAGTTTTGAGGCTCTGTACAGACCTAAGAGTATTCTACAGTGAACCTCAGATTCATACCACTACCCCACCCAAGCTGGGCAAAGGGAGTGGCCTTCAGAGGGACAGGGGACAGCTGAAAGGAAGGCATCAGTCAGCTGCCTCCCAGGCTCCAAGGGGCCTGGGGTGGAGAAAGGAAGTATTTTTAGGTCTGACCTGAGCCCCCATACACCCCATCAACCACATTGTGCTGCTCACAGTTGCGCCAGGCTGGCCACAGCATTACAAGAGTTAATGCTATCCTCGGAGAAGGACAAGTCCTAGAGAAGTCCCCTGGCATGGCCACCACATACCCTGCTGGTCATTCTATGGAGACCTTGTATGCCCAAGAATGTTTCTACCTAGGGGTAACCCAGGCACATAGGAAAAGTGAGCGTGCCAGAAGGCAGCACCCCTCCCCCAGGTAAAACAGTGCCCTCCACACCAAGACAGTGAGTTGGCACCCATCCAACTTTCGAAACTTTGGAGGCTCCCACCTCTTGGGGCAGGGGGATGGGTACGTTAATGTGGGTGTTGGGAGTAGGGAAACATCCAAGAGATGGATGGAGACCAGGTGACTCTGGGAGGGCCTCCCACAGCTGATCCCTTCTCCACCTTCAAAAGCCAATGTCTGAGCCTTCGAAGGCCTGTTGGCAACGCCCTCTGACCATGTCTCTGCCTTTCCCCAGTACTACCCCCGCCTCACCCACACCCACTAGCGCCCCTAAACGTGCTCTGCGTCGCCCCCCTCGCCTGATTCGCTCTCCAGCCTCCCTCCAACTCCGCTTCTCAAGGCCTGGATTCCCCCCAACCCCCATCAGCATCCCCGCTGTCAGCCTGCTGGAGCCCGTACCCCAGCAGCAGGGACCTGGACGCGGGGGAGACCTGGAGGCGAGGTTGACAGGCATTCCACCCGCCTCCTCTCCGCTCCGCAACACCGCAGCCCGACTTGGGCCAATAGTCCATCGATCATTAACCCTTGAGAATGGGGGGTCGCTCAGACACCCCTTTCCCATCCACGCAGGGCATATAACCCTTTCCTTCCCGGGGCTTTCCGAGCCGACTTCAAGGTCCACAAGGAGCGGTCCTTTCCCTCGAGCCTGGCACCTCGCCTCACCTGTGGGCTGGGGTCGAAGACCTCCATAGGGATCTCTTGGGAAGGTGGGTAAGGGCCCCGGGACATGCCGCTCTTCTGGACCATGGAGAGTATCCTCCGGTCCGGCCGCCCTCCCGGCCCAGCCGGGCGCCCTCAGCGCATGGGAGAGGCCGTCCGAGCCTAGAGCAGCGCGGCGTCGCGCAGCCAGCACCGGGTGTAGTCGCCCAGCCGGACCTCCGGCTGCACGCTCGCCGCCTTGCTGCCCTCTCGGCTCGCGCTGTGCTCTCTGCGGCCGCCGCCGCCGCCTCCGCCCCTGAAGGCTCAGCATCTCCCCCCGCCCCTCCCTCGCTCCCGCCCCGCGCCGCGGCCCCGCCCCTCGAGCCCCTCCGCCGGCTGCGCGCAGACAATGGCTGAGTGGCGGATCCCGGCTGGCCTCCGGAACGCGGAGGGGCTCGATCGTTGTCCTCCGATTAGTCTGGGATGAGGGCAGCCCGCCGGGGACTAAAGGGAAACCAGCCTTGAGGCTGGGGTGGAGGTGGGGGGCGTTTACCAGTGTGTGCCAAGCGTTGATGGGGGGGAGGGGGTGAAGCACAGGTTGGTACGACTGGTACCGCCTCCCTTTCTGTCCCAAACTACTCTCTCAGCTGGTCTCCCTGAGTGACTCCAACTTGGGCCACCGGAACTTCCCGGTCCCTGTGATCCTGGGACCTAGCTTTAACTCCTTTCTCCCCAGTATGAGGCCCAGGCCGCCATGAAACTAGCTGAGTGGACCTCCCTCTCCAACCTGGCTCTAGGTCTGCTGGCTAGGGCTAAGGATGGATGATGGGGTGAGTGTCCAAAGGCCAACAGGGACAGTAGGAATGCTGTCCAGGGACCCAGGAATGCTTCGGCCTCATCAGTTACTAAGGTCCCCCAGGCTTTTCCAAAAGGCCAGGAGTCAGGCTTGGCAAAGTCCCTGTTGCTTCTAAGGGAAAGGAAAGAAGAGGAAGTATGAAGGGGGGGGGGGGCTGTTCAAAGTTATATACCATGACTGTTAACCTAGGCTTCTCTCTCCTTTATCCTTGACTGAGGAACAAATATCCCAGAACTGTGGCAAGTCGGTACCAATTTGGCTCAGGCTCAGCTGGTTACTGGACCCTAAAAGGGTCGTCCTCAAGCCAAGCAGAGGTAGGGCACACATTTAATCCCAACACTGTGGAGACAGGGGCAGGAAGATCTCTGTAAATTCGAGGCCAGCCTCATTGACATAGTGACCCTCAGGACAGCCAGGGCTACATAGAAAAGCTCTGTCTCAAATAAACAAACAAGTCATTCTTTGTTTCCTTTCCTAAGGTGTTGCTAATACTATGGTATCTTTGCCCATTGAACTTATCAGCAAGATGAGAGAACAGTAAGAAGTCTGGAAGCAGGCCAGGCGGCAGTGGCGCATGCCTTTAATCCCAGCACTTGGGAGGCAGAGGCAGGTGGATTTCTGAGTTCGAGGCCAGCCTGGTCTACAGAGTGAGTTCCTGTCTCGAAAAACAAAAAACAAAACAAAAAAAGTCTGGAAGCTGGGTATGATGGTGTATAGCAATGCTGCGGGCGAGAGGCCAGCCTAGCTCACATTGTGAAGTTGAGGCCAAACCTGTCAAAAAAACATGAATCTGCCACAAAACATGAATGAACAAATGAACAAAAAAAAAAAATGCCCCACAACAAAAAAGATGGTTGGGGTTCTGGGGTGCTTAATGAGTGGCGTTGGGACCATCCGTAGCAAGAGGACTAGTTCCTCCTCCTCCACCCCACTCTCTGTTCAGAGAGCAGAGAGATAAGAAGTAAGAAAAAGCCTTGCCAAGACCCAGTGCCCTAAAATAAAGACTATTTTCTGTGTTCTGCTTGCCTGGAGCCTGTGCACTGTTTGGACTCCTGACTGTGAATTCTGAGAAGAGATTGTTCATTCTCTGATCACATTATCTTCTGATAAGGGCTTTGAGCAGTGAGGAAACCTTGTATCCTTCCATGAACATGGCCAACACTGGCAGGGTTCCCGTCTGCACACTGAGGGCAAGAGAACCAAGAGAAGGCAGCATGGGCTCCTCTAGTTAGGGATGACAGCAGAGGCCTTTAATCCCTACATTCTGGACGCAGAAACAGGCAGGTCTGTGTGAGCACAAGGCCAGCCTGGTCTACAGAGGAAGTACAGGTTGGGTAAGGTCTACAGATCCTACCTCAAAAGAAGGAGGAGAAAGAAGAAAAGGAGGAGAAGGAAGAAGAAAAGAAAGAGTGTTATATAAGTTGTAAAACGAAGTAGTTTTTCTTTTTCTTTTCTTTTTTTCTTTTCTTTTTTTTTTTTTTTTGGTTTTTCAAGACAGAGTTTCTCTACATAGTCCTGGCTGTCCTGGAACTCATTCTGTAGACCAGGCTGGCCTCGAACTCAGAAATCCACCTGCCTCTGCCTCCCAAGTGCTGGGATTAAAGGCGTGCACCACCACTGCCTGACCATGAAGTAGTTTTTTTGTTTTATTTGATTGATTATTGGTTGATTGAGACAAGGTTTCATTATGTAACCCACCTGGCTTGCAACATGGCAAGAGCCATGACCAGGCTGGCCATGAAGTTCCAGAGATCTGCCTTGCTTCTGTCTCCTAAATGCTGGGCTTGGAGGCATGTACCACCACCAAAATGAAGATTTTTAAAAAGTTGTCTATTTCTGAGGTAGTACATAAAAACATGTTACTTACACTGGCCCTTTCCTTTTAACTCTCAGCTCATTTTACTGCCTAGAAAATTCAGAGGAAGAAGATAGCAGCCAAGGATGGGGGCACAGACCTGTACTTGCAATTCAAGCACTTGAGAGAAGGCAAGAAGATAGAGTTGAGGCCATCCTGGCCTACATAACAGGACCTTGTCTCAAAAACAAGCAGAGAAAAAAAAGAAAGACTCTTGATGCAAGTAAGAATGAGGCCCAGAACCCAGGTCTAGAACTTAGATGTTTTTGTTTGTTTGTTTGTTTGTTTGTTTGTTTTTTGAAACAAGGTCTCTATTGTGGAGTCCTGGCTGTCCTGGAACTCTCTATACAGACTAGGTTGGCCTCAAACTCACAGAGATCCACCTGCCTCTGCCTCCTGAATACTAGGATTAAAGGTATACATTACTATACCCAGCTCGGGTCTAGGACTTTAAAAGATGGTTATTTTATGTGTATGTGTACATGTATGCCAGCATACCTGCTGTGTGCTGGTGCATGAGGAGGCTGGCACAGGGCACCAGATCTCAAGGACTGGAGTTATGGGCAGTTTTTGAACCACCAGATATGGATATTGGGAACCCAACTGCAATCCTTTGCAAGCACACAGCTTGAGCCATCTCTCTAGTCCCACTCCCCAGATTTTTTGCCTTTTTTTTTTTTTTTTTTTAAATCGGGGCTTCCAGTATCCAGGCTGGCCTTGAACTCCATATGTAGCTGAGGATGGCCTTGAACTCCTTATGTAGCTGAGGATGGCTTTGAACTCCATAAGTAGCTGAGGATGACCTTGAACTCCTCCTGCCTACCAAGTACTGGGATTACAGGTGTGTACCACCATGCTCTGCCAGATTTTGTTTTTGTTTCAAAGTCAGGGTTTCATTCTGTAGCCCAGATTGCCTGGACTGCCTTAAATTCGGCCGCCTTGGTACCGCCATCTCATTTCCTGACTGTTAGTTGGGATTAAAGGAGGCCAGCTCCAATCGCCATGAATTTTAACTTTCGTTCCCCTCCCCCGAAAGAACATTCTCCTTGGGTTTTCAGTCAGGGGTCTCCAAAGCCATTGGTCTTTTTTGTTGTTGTTCTGACACCCCTTCCTTTACTCAGCCAGTGTAGGTCTTCTCACATGCTTGCTACAGCACAGATTGAGCCAAACAAGATCGGTTCCGCTTGCTTGTGCTAATGCCTTTTTGTAAAAATAGATGCATATGATTTTCACAAGTGGATGACAGAAATATTAGGATTAGGTTCAGGCTACAACGGAGGAAATTGAAACACCCAGAGATTAGGGATTTGTGGTGGCACCGGGAAAAATCTCTTGGTTTAGCCTGCACACGAATTCTTAACTCTATGAGAGCGAAAGCGAGGTAGTGTTTGCTTGCTCTCTGCTGTCAACATTCTGTAACACTTCTTTCGATAATTTTCTCCCAGCTAATTTAATAACCTCTCACAACCGACTCTGTGAAGACTAGGCCTTTCAGGCCAAACCCTCCTCACTCCGCCTGCGCGACTCAGCGTGACTTCCGGCTACCCAAATACCACGTGATCAAATGCCCTCACTGCGCATGTGTGCCGAGGAGTTGGACTGAACCATTTTGCCGAACGAAAGGGGTATATATTTTGTGTTTTAAAGTTTAAAACCGATTCTCGATCTTGAGCATTTATGCTCATGATTTTTTAGAAAGGAAATAAATGAGTGTGAGATGGCGGCAGACTAAATAGCGTAGCGGAAATACAGACAATCATGGAGTGGGGCTTGGGCTCTCCCCTTCGCAGATAATGGGAGGAGCCCGCGACACGCAAGCTCTTTCCTTTCGCTGCTGCGTCCGCAGCCATGAGGTGAGCGGGCTTGGCTCTCGGTTCCCGGCCGACTGGGCCGACCTGGCCGACAGGGCCGGCGATGCTTGGCAGGGATTGGGGCCGGGACCCCGGATGGCAGAGGGGAGAGGGGAGGCGGGAGTGGTGTAGCCCGGCCCGGAGTGCGGAGAGCACCCACGGCCTGGGCCTAGGGAGGATGGGCCGCGGGACGCCGAGGCCCGAAAAGACCTCTCGCGGGCTCTGCTCTCCGCTTGGCTCGCGCCGTGGGCCACCACGCGGAGAGAGCGGCGGCGAGTGGGCACTGAGTGGCTCCTTGGCGCGCTGGAGCCCAGCGGACCTCGGCCCTGTAGCATGGGACAAGTCTCGGGCAAGCCCAGGCCTCCGAGTGCCGAGGGTGAGGCGCCAGGTTGACTTACGCCCGAACAGCGTTAATGTGAAAAAGAGCCCAGAAAGTAAAGAGCTGCGCCTGTCCTCCTGGGTAAACAGGCTACGCCACAGTCCTGACCTGTTGGTGTCTGATCTTTAACATTAAGGTCTTAACAGGGCAAAATACCCGGAAGAACTTAATCACCCTCGCCCCAGATCCCAAATGGCTATCCACCTTGGCCACATTCACTGCCCAGGTCTTGG